TCGTCCACTTTGAGTCTATATATCTCACTTCTTTTGAAAGAATCAAAAAGTGGTTAACTAGTAAAATGTTTATCAGGATATCAGCAACATTTTACTAGTTAGCCACTTTTTGATATCTTTCACAGAAAATGAGATATATAGGCTCAAAGTGGACGATCCGGGTGTCGTTCTATTAGAGGTTTTACGGTATCTCGGTTCTTTCAAGAGATATCTAAAAATTTCAACTGATAAACTATTTATCATAATATCACCAACATTTTATTAATTGACAAATTTTTGATATGTGTTTAGGAGCCGAATAAAGCTCAAAGTTCAATCATAGGGCGGACTCAATTGGAGCTATTTTTGTGTCCTTAAGCATTGTGCGGAAATCGCGCTCCTGCTAACTCTAGTTAGAAACGTTTTGTAGAAAAATCTTTTTTTCACTAGGGCGCTATTTCTGACCAAGATTGTGTACTTACCTCAGAAGCCTGCCAGACTCAATGCGATGTGATGTGTGCTCTGTTGTGGAAGAAGTCGTTGGTGGTCCACCAGGAATATGAACTATGGACACATGAGATGGACCAGGTTGAGAGTGTGGGAGCATCTGAAAAGGGCAAACATTTTTGGGGCCATTATGATACGAAATCCTAAATTCAGCGGTATAAAATGTCTGCAAAATTTCTAATTTTGCACCCTCAGAACGCTTTTTACCCAGTTGAACCCTCTAAAACACAATAATTGTCTCCAAAATCTTTTGTTTTGGTCCCTCTTCTTGTCCCCGTATTCAAAACATACAAGTTCATAAGACCTCCAATAGTTTTCTTTTATATATAAATTCAAGTGCAACCAACCCAGCTATATCCCAAACCCATCAAACACCACACACCTTATTTCCTCATCTAAACCACTTTTCCTCCTTTTTTCTGCATATTCTTCTTATTTTTTCGTATCTGTTTGTTGCCAATAGTAGCAGAAGAAAAAAAAAAAGAAAAAGAGGGACCAAGAATTTTGACAAAAAACGGAAAAGAAAGACGGGGAGGTACACTTACCCCTCCCATATTATCGAGGAAGCATGGACATTTTTTGAAAGGCAAAAGGAAAGATATATGTATATAGTAAAAATGGAAACAGAAGAGATCAAAATGAAAATATTAAAAAATCAAAAAGCTTGTTTTTTCCATAGTTCTATGATTATATAGCGTCAAAGTTCTATGGTACAAAGTAAACCGGTAACCTCCGATTGTCAACTTTGAGCCAATTTATCGCATTTCCTGTAGAAGATATCAAAAAGTGGTCAACTGATAAAATAATTATCATAATATCAAAATTATTTTATTAGTTGACAAATTTTTAGTATCTTCAACAAAAGATAAAATAAATTGAGCTCAAAGTTGATACACCAAATTTTACGAGATCGCTTCCGGAAAAGTAGAACAAAAGAGTTTGTAGGTCTCATTTTTTGGCTAGGAATTTAGTTTTTTTCTAATTTTCAGAAATAGTATTTTTCAAATCTCAAAATCCGAAAATCCATCAGTATCTTACATTTCAGAATCTCCTCTGAATCTCAGAATTTCAGAGTTTCGAAACTCAAATATCTGGAAGCCCGAATTTCGAAACTAAACAATTCTGGAATTGCTCAATATGGAAATAGAGTTTTGGAATTGTCACATTTTGAAATTTACGCATTCTTGAACTTTCAGAATTCCAGTTTTTGAAATCTTTTTCCGGACTTTCAAAATGTTGAAATTTCTAGAAACATGGATTCTCAAATTCTGTTTTTAAGAACTTGGGAATCTCAGAAATTCTGAAATCTGAAAAACTCAGAATCCCTTAGAATCTCAGAATTTTAGAATTCCAGAATTCCAAAAGCTCAGTATTTCAGATTTTTCGATTTTTAGAACTTTTGAATATGTGATTTTCACAATCCAAAAATCTTATAAATCCGGAATCTCCAAGTCTTTGAATCTTAGAATTTAAAAGTTTTAAAATTTCAGAATATTGGAGTTTTAGAATCTCAAAATTTCAGAATATTGGAGTTTTAGAATCTCAAAATTGCAGAACCTCAGAATCTCATAATATCAGAATTTCAAAATTTTAGGAATTTCAGAATCACAGGATTTCAGAATCTGAAAATCTCAGAATCTCAGAATCTCAGGATCTCAGAATACCAAAATCTCGGAATCTCGGAATCTCGGAATCTCGGAATCTCGGAAATTCGAAAATCTAAGAATTTCAGAGATTTCGAATTTCAGAATTTCAGAATTTCCAGAGTTAGAATTTCAGAATTTCAGAATCTCACTCACCTGAATGGGCGGTCTTCTAATTCCCAGATGTCTAACTGGAACTGGTACTGTATCAATATCCACATCATGTGATGCTCTTCTATCTCGGATTACTGTAGATGATGACGTGGATGCTTCCTGGAGAGCTCTTCCTAGAATTCCGCCACGTGGCGAATCCATTTTCACCGGGATCAATTCAAATATTAATATTAAAAGAACTAAGAATATATTGTAGAGCCTAATTTTGCTGAAATTTTCATTTTCAGATTTTCATATTACGAAACGGGAGACAAGTGTATGTAGCAAAAATAATAACGAGAAAAAGAAGTAAAAATAAAAGAAGAGAAGGTTCAGAAAATATGTGGAAGAAGAGAAGGGTATTCAGAATAAGGGGAAGAAGGAACTACTACTAACAATAGAGACACTGAAAACTAGGTATAAAATATGAATTTGGTGGGGGGAGAGGATTTTTGGTTGAGTTGCAGAATAAAAAGTACTTAGGGTTTTAAAGAGATTTGGAATCATAGCAGTGGGTGGAATTTGGAAATTTATTAATATCAAAAATTTGAAAATTGGGGAATCTTAAAATCTAGAAGTCAAATACTCTGCTGTCTAATACCCAAAACTGTCTAATACCCAAAACTGTCTAATACTCAAAACTTCCCAACCTTAGAATCTTAGAATCTCAGAATTTCACAATCTTAGTCGTTTAGGATTTCATAATCTTAGAGTTGCAGAATTTCAGAATTTCAGAATTTTCAAATCATTAAACTACTTTTTTTTAATGATTAGAATTTTTTTTGAGAATTGGTTGATTTAAATTTTTGTCAAATATAGAAATCTAGGAATCCAGAGTTCCCGAATCTTGAAAATTGGAAATTTAAGAAATTTGTAATATTATAATCTAAAAAATTAAGAATTTGATAATCTTGAAAACTGCAAAAAGCGAATTCGTATTTTTTGAATTTTTCGAAAACTCAATTTTCTATTCAAAATTCGCAATTCGTAAAAAGAAAATTAGAAAAAAAAAACTGAAGTTTGAACTTGAAGCTTATGTCGCTTTTTCAATTTGAAATATCGTAAAACCTGTAATAAAAGAGCCCCCTAAACTTTAGCTCGGGACCTATTTACCTGTAAGAGATATGAAACTTGTCAACTAATAAATTGTTTATCATAATATCCGCAATATTTTATCAGTTGACACATTTTTGATATCTCTTATATTGACCGAGATAATTGAGCTCAAATTTGACAGTGTGTGCCCTTTTATAACAAGTCTCACGGTAAGCAAGAAAAACTGACAATGGTAAAGGAGTTATCTAGAAAAGTTGCTTTTTCATTTAAATCATCGCTACGAGAAATTTCATATTCTAGTAATCTTCCTTATATAAAAAACGCTAGAGGCATCTGTTTGTCTTGAGGATCTGTCGACTTTTGAAAAGATTAAAAAAATAGATTTACGTGATCCTTTAAGAACAATTAAGGCGTGGAGCGACGAACCAGTAAAAAACTAGATTGAATCGCGCCGAAGGCGCACCAGCTTGCTTGTCAATTTTCAAAAGAATTCAGCAAAAATGTCCGGAATTTTTTTTGAGAAGCCGGGATGCGGAATCCATCCTGATACCTGAAACCGAAACCAATAAAAACTTTACGGAGTCCGTATAACGGACATCTCGAATGTGTAGAGGAAGTCTTTAAAAAACACAAACGATATTATTTAGCGGAAGTTCAGAAACAAGTTCTCGTAAACATTCACGCTGGAAATTCGGAATAAATCCTTTTTTTCTCGGAAACCGGGATATGCGAAAGTCGGAAGAGATAGACTTTCCAGGAATCTGGAGCCCAGAATACGGACTAATGAAATCCAGAAATCTCGGGAATTCAGATTCAAAGAAGATTTGGAGTAATTAAATTCGAAAATCGAAAGCTCAACACATTCTAAATCATTTTTTCATAAACACTTCAATCAAAACCCCAACTTTGAGCCCATATATCTCGTCTCCTGTAAAAGATATCAAAAAATTGTCAACGGATAAAATTTTAGACCCAATATGAAAAATTTTTTATCAGTTGATAAAATTTTGAAATCTTTCATAGAAATCAAGATAATTGAGCTCAAATTATAAGTATGGAGTGACGTCCTGTTAAAGGAAGACACGTTCAGGCCAAATGAATTCTAAGATTTCGAAATGTTAAAAAAATGTGCTCAATAAAATGGCTCCAACTAGTCTAGTCGTCGGCAACAAGGTGGTAGCCCTCAAAAGTAATAGCCCGTTTAGGTTGGTTACCCATGGAGAAGGGAGGGGGACAGAAAAAAGAAGAAGGAGAGCAGGTGGACCAAAAATGACCATTTCCGGTCAGTTGGGATAGAGGGACCAGCGTCTCCAATGGGATTCAAGGGGTAAAAGAAACAGAAAACTTCTGAAGAAGAAGAAGAAGAAAAAAAAAGTAAAAGTATAGAAGAGGGGGCGGGGCTTGAGAAACATCTGGAAAGTTTGAGAAGAGTCGTAATTAATGGGAAAGGGGTTTTTGGGAAAAAATGAGGTTCAGGGGTTTATGGATTTTATGTTGTGTGAAAGGTGACATAATGGCTGGGAAGAGAGTACCCGCAAAGTACTGGGGAACCCGGTCATTAAGAAAAAAAAGGAAAAAAAAGAGAAAAGGAAAGAAGGAATGAGAAAATGTGTTCGTTTTTTGGTGTTAGAAAAATGAGAAAGATCATATTTTTGGATTTAAAAAAATCCAAAGATTTGAAAATTGTTCTAGAAATCCAAAAAATGACCTAGAATATATTTGAAATTTGTTTTGTTTAAAAAAACCTGAAAAAAACCTTTTTTTAGTTCGAGTCCGTCTATTTTTGAAGATTGAAAACTTTGATATATTTAAAAACTTTGAAATATTTCATTTACATTATTTTTGTGTAGTTCTTTTTAGTTTGAAAAAATTCTGAAATTTTGAAAAAAATTTTTAACAGATTAAAAAAAATATTCTGAAAAAAAAACTAAAAAATCCAAATTTTCAGAAAAAAAATTAATCACAAAAACCTTTTCCAAGAATTCAAAACAAACAATTTTTTTTTGAAAAATCGGAAAAATGCTTTCCTAAAAATCTTGGAACAAAAACTGGAAAAAATAACCAAATTGATATTAACTTCTTTGAATTTTTTAAAGGTGGGGGGACAGGATATTTTTCGTAGTTTTTTTGTAGCTAGAGTATGCATTCTACCGTCACGGTGTACAACGCTTAATGTCACTCTGCGTATAGCTGTCGTCCTCGCCTTTATGTATGCAATCGGGCGGGCGCTTTCTCTTTGCCCGCGTGGCTCAGTCGGTAGCGGCGCCGCACCCTCAATCATCGCCCTCACAAGTTCAACTCCTCGAGGGGCATCTTTGAACGGAATTTCGAGAACATTATTTTTTTCATGTCCCCCCATCTTTAAAGGATTACTTTAAGTAAAATTATTTGAAAATCAGAAGGATTACTGTAGGGAAGAAATCTGAAATGTAAAAGGGTTGCTGTAGGGAAAACAATCAAGTACGAAATGGATTACTGTAAGAAAAAATGAAAACAAATCAAAAGGATTACTGAAGGGGCAAAATATTTGAAAGTTTAAAAGATTCTGTAGAAAAAAAATATTCAGAAATCAAAAGTATTACTGTAGGGGCAAGGCTGTGCCACGGCCGGCCGTTTTTACTACGGCCAAGCCGGCCACGGTTTCAGAAAAAAATATTCGAAGAAGCCGCGGCCGGCCCAGGCTAGCCGTGCGGCTTTTCACGGCCTTTTGAAATAATTGTTTCATGAGAAATATTTTTTTTTTGAAAATTAGGACAAAAAAAGAAATTATTCAAAAACTAATTGATTTTCACTTCACGCGTTTTCATGAAGCTATCCGCGGCCGGCCTCGGCTAGCCGCGGCTTTTCACGGCTTTCACAAAAAAGCCGCGGCCGGCCAGTCGTCTTTTTGCACAGGCTTGTGTAGGGGGAAAATATTCGGAAATCAAAAGGATATTGTAAAACTTTAGACAAAAAGACTGATTTTTGTTCACTAAGCAATGATTCAAATTCAGAAAAAAAAAGTGAAAACTCATCTCCCAATTACTACAAATGTATGTTCCTGTTATATCTCCTAGTTTCATAGACATTTCACGTGTTAGTGGTTTTCTCCCCTTCGTTGAAATAAATAAATAAATAAATAAATAAAACTAGATACCATAAAAATATAAATTCATAACCTCCAGAACAGTTGTTTTCACAAAATGGGTTTACCCATACCCAACATAACTTCGTTGATTTATGTGACGACTTAATTACAGTTACGGTACTTTTTTCGAAGTTTTGGGAACAAAAGAAAACACTTTTTTTAAAAAAGGGAAACTGAAAAAAGCAGGGGTCGTTTTTTTTGAAAATTTGAGAATCTATTTCTTGGAAATCATGGAAATCAAGTTATTTCAAAAATCAAGTTTTCAAAAAAACCCTGAAAAATCGAATTTTTTTTCAAAATCATACTGCAAGATAAAAAAGAAATCTTCTGAATTTTAAAGACAGAAAGATTCCAAGACTTTTGAATGTTTTTCAAGCCTTTTCTCCTCCCCCAATTTCCACGCCATCTGACCCCAAGAATCAGGAATTCTGTCACTCATTCCACCTCCACCATATACAGACAGACATCATCTAGTAGTAGTACTAACCTATACCTTCATCTCTCTACTTTTCAGAAATGTACTAAGGAAGAAGAGAAAGAAAAAAGGAAATCTCAAAAAACCAAGAAAAAAGAGTACTAGCGGAAATACGCAGGTATCCATGAAAAATGTATCTTTTTTAGTTCCAATGGTCAAAAATGTAGGGGGTGGATGGAAAAGTGCAAGCGATTCGGAAAGCTGAATTTCAGAGAAACGGGTAACTTGAAATCTGAAAAAAAGCTCAATTCTCTCCGTTCCTGTGAGAGATATCAAAAAGTTTTTAACTAATGAAATAGTGATGATCATATGATAAAAACGTTATCAGCTGACAGCTTTTCGATTACTCTTACAGTAACCGAGATATATAAACTCACAGTGAACGAATAGGGTGAGCTTCTATTAGAGGAAATACGGTATTTTCATAATCGAGAACCAAAAATGAAGCAAACATTAAAACATCATCAATTATTTCAGCAGAATCATAATGAATTCAAATATGGGAAATTGAAAATTGGAGAAAACTAGGGACCGAAGAAATTTGAAAAGTTTAGAATTTCGTTTGAAAAACTCGTTTTTTTTTTCAGATTCTAAAAAATATTTTATTGTCGATACAAATTTTAATTTCATGGAAAAACATATCATTTTTTCTCGATAACCAAATTTTCCAATTCTGCAAGTTCTGAAACTTTAAACGTTTGATTTCCATCTTTTCCAGCTCTCCCTCTCTCTCTCTCTCTCTCTCTCTCTCTCTCTCTCTCTCTCTCTCTCTCTCTCTCTCTCTTTTCCGATAACAATCTACACACCTCTTCCAGACCCTTTTAACTTTTTGCGCATCAGATTTACAACCCTATTTTACGATCATCACCCTTGTGCTCAACGCCTCCATCTGTCATTAAGTTTCAAATTTCTCATGGGCCAGCAGGTGGGACAGTTGTAAATCTTTCCCCTTTTTTTGTGGTCTAATCAAAACATAGACATTCAAAAAAGTGTTATTCAGACATACAAAAAAGAAAAGGTCGTGGTCGAGTGCGTTATGTTTTGAAAAGCGAGGCCTCAAGGACAAGGATAAGGTCTTTTTGGATTCATAATTTGAATTTTTTGGCGGGCGTTTTTTTTGTGGAACAAGAATGTAAATGAATTTTTAGAGGGGTACTGTAACTATATTTGTTTTGCGATACTGTAGATTCTAAATTTTGAAGATGGTACGGTAGATTTTTTCAAACTTAGAGATAGGCAGTTTGAGATACGGTAGATATGGTAGGTTTTAATAATTGTGGGATACGGCATATATTTTTTGGAGGTACGGTAGATATCTTGTAATTTTGGAGTCATGGTAGTTTTTTTTTTGATACGAAGATTTGTAAAATTTTGAGATACGGTAGATTTTTCCCTAAATTTTGAGAATTTTTAGGTTTCTATATTCCAGCAGATTTGTTCTGGAAATCCGGTTATCCGCTTTTCCAAAAAATTTCGGAAATTTAATTTTTACTCTCACAATCATGGTTTTCCATCGTTAATAATGTCCAAAAACTACAGTATCCCAAATTTTTGAAATTAAAAAAAAAATATTTCTACTTGTTTCCCATTTTCCAAAATCTTTGTCTTTTTCTATAAATTCTAATATAAATTCTAAAATTTGGAAATTTTTCAAATTCCAAAAGTTATGAAGTTTGAAAAACTCCAAATTTGAAAATTTCTCAAAAAAAATTCTCAAAATTAAAGAGTATCAAATTCTAAAAATTCTCAAATAAAAAAAATTAAATTGTCCTCTTCTCTCCTCCTTTTTTTTACAATTTCCCATATTTTCCCTTTGGTCTTTTTTATTTTTTTTATTATCAAATGTATTTTTTTTCCTTTCACTTTATCTATCCTTTCTTCTATTCCTCTACTTTTTTATCACTATCACATCCATCAAAATTTTCTCTTTTTTATCTTTTCATTTTTTTTTGCGTTTCCATCGTTTCCGTTGTGTCGTTCATCGTCTGGTGGTTTCGATTTTTTTTCTCATTTTCACCTTCTTGGGTGATAAAAAAGAGACGTTTGGTTTCATAAAATTGTCGAAATCTACCGTATCCCACTCTTATAGATTTGATTTTTTGCCACATATGTGCTCTTTGAGCTTAATTATCTCAGCTCATATAAAAGATATCAAAAAGTTGTCAACTAATAAATTGTTAACGATAATATTACCAATATTTTATCAGTTGACTACTTTTCTAATATCTCTTACAGTAATCGATATAATTAACCTACAAAAAACCATTAAATGTTAAAAGTGCATTCTCCTTGACCCCCATCATTTCTCTTCGATTGTTTTACAATTTAAATTTTCTCTGCGTCTCTCTATCTCTGTTTGCCTGCTAAGAATGAGATGGGTGTATGAAAAATATGATTGTCCTGGTGTGAATCATTTTTTCTTGTCACTTTTCTTTCTCGGTCAAATGTTCTGACCACTTTTATCAGCTCTTTTTGTTGTTTTTTCAGAGAACAGGATCTTTGGACTTTTGTAGGAAAATCGCCGAAAATCGGGGGTTACGGTAGTTTTCGTTTTGAGCCTTCTAAAGTTTCGGAAATTGAAATTTCGATCAGGTTTTAGGGATTTTCAATTTTAACGATTCCAAAAACCACAGAATGTCTAGTCACCCTATACCATCACTTTGAGCTCAATTAGCTCGGTTCCGGTGAATGATATCAATAAGTTGTCAACTAAGAAAACGTATTACATAATTCCACTTATATATTATCCGTTAATCAATTTTCAATATATTTTATAGGAACCGAGCTAATTGAGCTCAAAGTGTACGTAAAGTGTGGGCTTTTAGATTCCAAAATTTTAAAAATTCTAATATTATTTCTTGACAAAACACTGACGCATTTTTCGTACATTTCAACACCACCACAACACTTTTTCTCATTATTGTCAGTTTCCAATAGACCAAAAATTTTCCCAAAATTTCCATATTCATACATTAATGGATTTTTGGCGTCTATTTTCTACATATACACTTTTCGTTTGGCTACACTGTTTTACACTCTGCCAGATTTAATTTTCAGCGATTGCTTTTGAAAACCTGTGTCAGATTTCCCTATTTTTTAAACAATTGCTTGAGGCCACGCCCTTTTTCTCGCATTACTTGGGCTATGTGGGAAAAGGGGCGTGGCCTCCTCACTGTTGCGAAAGAACGCCTGTGGGGAGGGTGGCTCGCATTTGTAATGATTCATGATCAGAATCTGGTCGTTTGAAAAACCACTTAACCATTGTTCAAGTCGATATGTATTTCCACACAAAGTGATATCACAAGACAACCATTCCCCCTTGTCAACATGTTATTGCTCATTGCCCTCAACTACAGTATCCCCTTTTTATTAGTGCAACTACTTCCCTGTTTTTTCTCGAACTTTCGAGCTTTAGCTGCAAATTTTCTCTCTTCTTGTGGCATACAGTTTGTTCAGTACACTTTCCCATAGCCTTTTCTTAATTTTTTTCCCCTTCGATTGCATCGATGGGGCGGGTTAAAAAGAACACACCGACACAAAAAAGAGAGCCCTTTTTCATATTCCTTTGATATTTGGGATTTCGTAATTTCGAAAAAGACTTAAAGGTCAACATCTGTTTGTTTTTTCCTTTCAATTTGTTTGCCGCAACTGATCTGATAACAGCCTAGCGTATATGTGTACTTTGAGCTCAATTATCTCGATTCCCATGAAAGACAACGGTTGTCAACGGATGAAATGTTGCTGATATTATGATAAGACATTTATTAGTTGACCACTTTTTGACATCTTTAATTAGAGTTGAGATAATTGAGATCAAAGTTCAGCTTCCCTTCTCTTCTTCTTTGAACATCTGCTCCATCGAATCGATTCGCATTCGTTCAAAAAAAAAAATCATGTGTCTTCTTGTATAATTTATTTGCCTACTTTTGATACATAGTCATTTCTAGTCATTCATGTGCAAATGAGGTGTAAAACTTTGCAAAGTAATCAAATAACTGTTAATGATAAATAATTATCAGGGATATTTGTTCATACTAATTGTCGTGCTTTATGATCCTTATCGATTTTTGAGCTCTCTGCTGGTCTTTTCTTTCCCGGTTTGTCATTTTTGAAAAACCCAAAAAAAACTGTAAACAAGACATTCTATTCTTTCTTTTTATGCCCATTAGACTAGATTAACTGTGTGGGTCTTTTATGTTCTGCTCTTCATGACCTCACTCACACTAGATTAGGAAATCCACTTTCGGGTGACTTTCATTTTTTGAAGAGCAACTTTTATTGCAAGTTCTGAAAAGAACAACACGCCACCTTAATCTTTCTTTTTTGGGTTTTTTGTTGTGACCCAAACTTGATAATTTTTAAGCGTTATTGTTGCGGGCTCATTTTTGCGAAATCTAAGGACTATTTCTGACCAATTTTCACTACTTCCGGTGTGTCCAGATGTCTAGATGTCCGTATCGTTTCCAGCATTTCCAGTTTTCTTTTCTGTTAAACTTAAACTACTGTAGTCTCCCCATATTAAATTTTTTTTTTGATTTTTCAGAAATTCGAAATGGATCGAATGTTTGAAAAACCTTCTTTGGAACCGAGGGATTCGACACACCAGGTTTGTTTTTTTCATCATTGCACTTGGAGCTCAATTATCTCTATTTCTGTAATAGATATAAAACATTTGCAAAGTACAAAAATGTAGGTGAGATTTTGGCAAACATTTTATCAGTTGACAAATTTTTGATATCTCTCATTGGAAGCGAGATAATTAAGCTTGAAGTTCAATTGTTCTAATAGAGCAACACGAAATATACTGCCCAACACTAGTCACTGTACACGAACTACAGTATCACCATTTAGCTAAAGACACACCATTTTCATTATTTTAATTCCAGTCATCATCATCGTGTTCATCCACCGATCTTCATCCAAGATCTTCATCCACGATTCAACCATCATCCACCGATCACATCCACTCTGAACTGGAGCTAGTGCGTCAAGACCCAACCCTGTATCAAGAAGTGATCCATAATTGGACAGAGAAGGTGAAGACAAAGTTGAGATCAGAGAATCGCACGAAAGAATTTCTCTGCGAAGTGAGGAGAGATATCGGACACATTTTGGTTCTCAAAACATTCGATACTCCACACAAAAGGAAAGCTTTCATCAGAAGTCTTGTGAAGGAACCTTCGGAAGAGGAGGGGTTGGTCGCATGGCTCCAGGAAGCCAAGCCAACAAATCCAAACGAGCCAGAACTTGAAGAGCGTGATGTGAGTTATCATTAACTGATAATTGTTTTCAAATAGAACAGTAATTTTTTTAGCCAGCGCATGGTCCTGCGACGAGTCAGCCACTTCCTGCACTCAACACACTTTTGGAGACTTCTGGAGGACCATCGTCATCCGGAACATCGTCATCTATTCAAGGAGATTCTTCTGGAGCACCATCGATGAATATGCCAAGCGCAGGATTATTTGGACAAGTTAGTTCACAAGTTTGAAACTTTCGGTTTCCTAAAATCTTGCTATTATCAATTTAAAGTTTAAAAACCACTCAAAAAAGACAATCGGAAAATCTTGGCCTAGAAAACTGGTGAGTTCTGGTGAGTTTTCTAGGCCATCTTTAATGATGGCAGAATTTTCTCAGAATTTCCATTTACCATTATGGCCTAGAAAACTCAGCTTCCAAAAGTTAGGCCATCATGTAGTCTTTTAAATTTTTGAAGCCTATAAGTCTTGGAATCAAGGATTCAAAGATATAATTTTCACACACAAATTTTAGTGAATTTTGAGTCAGAAACTTTCAATTCGAAAACCATCAAAAATCTATTTCTGAGACATTTTCTACATTTTCAGCCAAATTAATTGCTTTGAATCTTGAGAACGACTATATTTCCTTTTTTGGAGAAGAAGTACATTGGAGCACTTGTCTTTTCGAATCGTAAGAATATTCTAGAGTCGACTCCCCTTCATAACGGTTTTATGATGGGTTTTAAGAGCAGTTAGGTATGAGAAAATGAGGAAATTGACATCTTGTGGGGTAATAAATTTCCATTTCCAACATCACTCGGAGTTTTCACGAATCTTTGAAAAAAAAGAAATACTTTATAGCCTGATACTTTTTCCTTACTATTGTTAGTTCCTATATTTATTAGTCCTTCTAGACATTCTTTTCCAGACCTTTGGTTTTTTTCATACTTGTGGAAAAAATGGCCGGCCCGCGGGCCGGAAAAAATTACACATGGTCGGCCCGGTTTTTGAAAATTTCGAAATTTTAGAGCGAAAATTCATCCTTGGCTTAATGAAGTCTGATTTTTTGCTAAAAATTCAATTAAATTGACTTTTTCGGATGGTTGTATGCATTTGGATTAATATTTGTGCTATTAAAAATATATTGGCACATTTGAAAAGTAACATTTTCGAAAAGTTGTCCTAGGCGGGCCGAGCGGGCCGGGCCGAGGGTTTTGAGGCAAGCAGGCCGGCCCGGCCATCCACATGTATGGGTTTTTTTCTGTCTGTGACATTTTCGATTGAATCGTAATCTCATGACATTTTTCGAACCCATTTTTCGAACCCATTACCCTGTCTATCCCACACATTTTTAATTAAAAATATACGAATCGCGTAGGCGATCTTTTTCTTGTCCATATCCAATCTAGACTTTCTTAAAACCCGCCTCCAAATTTTATGACTTCTCCCCCCATCTATAAATCCGTCTTTTTTCAGTTCAATCCCAACTTCTCCAGCCTTCCATTTCCAAATCTCCAGGTTGGGATCAGTTCGCAGTTTGGCATCCAGGTTCCAGGAATATCTGTGAAGGTTTGCTTAAAACTGTAGACTAGAAAATACCGGGATTACTTTTTTTCTTTATCTTCCAAAAGTTCTATTTTCATCCACTTCTTCCGAGTTTTTAAAACTGGAAACCTCGTGAAAGCTCAAAATCTAAGAATCATAGAAATTAGAAAACTAGAATCTTAAAATCTCCTAATTTTCATTTTAACATTCAAGAATTTGGGAATCTTAGAATCTTAAGTTTTTTCAAATCAAAAATTTGAAGTCTTCAAATTTCAGAATCTTCCTCCAGCTTCTGCTCTGCCACCCGCTCTAGACCCCTTCCTGGAATTCTTGACCACACAACGGGGGTTGCCCGGATTCATAAACGCCCAGACCGTCCCAATTCCTTCTATCCCGGAATTGAATCCCAAACCAACGACCTCTTCTGAAAGATCAAGGGCAAATCCGGAGGGACCAAAAAGAAAGCCAGGAAGGCCATTAGGATCCACGAAAATGGCCATGATACAGCGAAAGCGCGAGGATCGGAAGAGAGCAGAAGAGAGCCGTCTTCTGGCTGCTCAAGCTCAACAAGACATCTTCCCCGTTCCTAGGTCATCAGAAGAGCAAGCGCAGATTGAGAAGGAGGGTTCGGAGATAGCGAGAGGTCTTCTATTGGCCAGTCTTCAAACTTCGATGGATACTACTGTTGGGGCGGAGGACAGCTCAAAGGATGGTGGGGATCGAACAAAGGAGTCAGCGATCGGAAAGGAAGTGTCGGAGCCAGAGACGTTAGAAGCTCCAGTTATTCAATCACAGAAACGAGTCCTTAGGAAGAGGAAATCGGGAGCAGAGTTGATTTCTTCAATCGATAACATATCCGGTAAGTTGAAGCTCTAGTTTTGTTTACAATTAGTATACTCTGAGATTTTCAGGCGAATTGAAACAATTTAGACTATTTTTAAGAGATCCAAAGTTATAACTTTGACCTAAATTTTCTCAGTTGTTGTAAAAGATATCAAAAAGTTGCCAACTGATAAATCATTTATCAAAATGTCACAAACATTTTATTAGTTGACACATTTTTGATATCTAGCATAGTAATTGAGATAATTTAGCTCAAGCTTGGGTGCCCGTCTATTAAAGGTTTTAAGGTATTTTTGCCCGATACTGTATGATCAAATCAATTCCTAATTATTTGAACAATCGAGACCCAAACCAATGAATATTTTATTTCAGACGAATCCACACCATCCGGACACACTGAAAATCCTTCCACGACCATCCAGCCACAACCAACCACTCGTCAAGCAGAACGTTCGAAAATCCCACGAAAATCAAGACAAGACCACCCGCCGAGCGAATATCTAGAAACCGAACTAATGATAAAAGGATATATGAGAGAGGATAACCGAAACGCTTCTAGATCCGGTAGAAAGAAAATCCAAGAGTCTGAGGAGCCTATTGTCTCGGTAGACTGCGGTAAAGTGATAGACGAGATGGTGGAGAGAGTGATGAAGGGGAAAATTGAGGATATTGTCATGCCTCCAGCCAAAAGAAGAAGAAGATCCATGGCAGGATCGACGGCTCAAGAATCCGAAGGTACGAAGAAGAAAGTTAGACGAGAAAAGAAGACGACTTCGGATGATGCGGACGCTTCTGATAATTCTAACCGTATTCCGGTTGATGATGTTTCCACTCAAAAGCATATGAAGTCAAAGTCTGTGAATTCTGTTTTAGAAGATACTACCGTCACGGGAGAGTCTAGACAAACTTCAAGTGGTGAAGCTGCTGCCCAAGCTGAGGAGACTTCTCCTCAAGGAAACCAAGTTGTTGTAGATGACATTATGAGAGAGTCGAGTCGATCTGAAGATGCTGGAACTGCCCATGCCGAGGAAGCTGCTCCTGAAGAAATTCAAGTTGCTGCTTCAAAAGTGGACAATTTCGATGATGTTCCTTCAAATGGTGTTGGTGCTTCGGAGAGACCGAAGACTGCTCGTGTAGTCAAAATGAACCAGCCGAAGCTTCAAGAGGAATTTACGGTCCCGATAGCTTCCGGATCGGTTTCTTCGTTAATTACAGGTGAGTTGAAATTATTGAAAAATTAAATTCAAAAAGTTCCCGTTTTTCAGAAGACGCGAGCAAGAAAACAGAGTCTCCAGAAGCAACCCATCCAAGTGAAACCAAAGCTGTCATTCCCTTGAAATCGCAAGAAACGGTGTCGGAGGCAGTCCATAGTGAGCTAAGATTAACAGAGAACAATCAATAGCTCAATTTATTAAGATGGACCTTCCCATTCGGCAGAACCACAAGGTCAATACTTCAACTTTGCAATGCAACGGGAAAAGGAAAGGCTACAGAAGATGTATGATGAAATGCGCAAAAAACCACTCTGTCAGAGTTTTTGTCCCCGCCCGACTTCCGAAGCCACTCCAGAAGTTTCAACTCCCATGGTTCGAAGCTCTTCAACCAGCGCGCCCAAGACAATTGATGGACCACTTGCTTCTAATTTTCCCATACTCCCCATACAAGGTAATTCATAGACAAATCAAATAATTTAAAATCATTCTTATAATAAATAAATGAAGTTGCGTCACTTTCTCTGTTCCTCTGTCCGCACACGTTGAAAAATTGAAATACAATATAAATTTACGTGAACTTTTGAGTAAGACAGAGGAGTGAAGCGACGAACAGTAAAATGTATAGATTAAATCGCGCCGAAGGCGCACCAGTCAACTGTTTGAAGCGCCGGAAGCGCGGCGACCAGGCTGTCCGTCCCGGTGTCAATCTGTCCGCTTTTGAAAAAGTTGAAAAAATAAATTTAGATTTTCGCGACCCTTTAAGAAAAAAGCTGCAAACCAGTAAAAAAACAGATAGATGGAATCGCGCCGAAGCCGCACCAGCTTGCTGGTTTATATTATTTATATTCCCAATTTTCAGCTCATTCCCCTATTCCGCCTCAAACGCCTTCTGAACCCCTCGAAGCAGTCGTGATGTCATCCACAATAACTTCAGAAGTTTCAACTTCTATGGTTTCAAGTTCTTCATCCAGCTATGCCGCCCCAGCTGTCATGGCAGCTGATGCACCAGTCGCTTCTAATTTGGTTCCGTTTCTGGTAACGGCAACTTCGTCTAGTGAACTCCAAGAGAAAAATCAAGCAGCTTCTGGAATTGTACCACCGGGACGCTCCGTTATTCACACGACTCCAGCTGTTCCCCAGCTTGTTCCAGGAATGTTAACTTTGTCAGTTGGAGTGGCGCTATCCTATATGTTACCATCAAGAACACAATCACCTCATCAAGATATTCCTGCCCATCGAGAGCTGCCAAAACCAATTGCACATCCTGGTGCAATCAGTTCTCAACTGCCTCCATGTGCAGCCCTATCGAAGCTGCCTCCACTATTTACGGCTTCCAGCCAAGCGACGGCTCCCAACCTTCATCCGGCCAACTTCAAAGTTCCCATAGCTGTTGACCCTACGAAAGGTAATTCATCGTTCAATAAGATAATCTCTAATACTTCTTTTTCCAATTTTCAGCATTTTCCCCTGAACATCTGGAACCCACTGGAAATGGAATACAAACTGATATCTCTAGCTTGAGCACACATGGGGCATATTTGGATTCAACTTCTACAACAAGCAGTGCAGAACCACCATTACAACAAGGACTTCCAGCTCCGGAATCTGCTTTAAATTCTGAATCCAGAACTGATAACTCCACTAATTCCGGAGCCAATTCATCTGCTGCTCTTCCAACCAGCTCTTTTCAAGCAGCTCGTGAAACTTCAAGGCTCTCTGTGAACCAGCAAAATAAACACGGAGCCAACATGACCTCATCTGCAGCAGCTCCAGAAGCTTCAACTTCCACGGTTCGAAGTTCTTCAACCAGCGATGGCGCCCCAGCTTTCTCGACAGCTGATGCGCCATTAGCTCCTACAGAAACTTCATCGAGCGGACGCCAAGAGAAAAATCGAGAAGCATTTGGCATAAGCCCACCGGCACCCTCCGTGACTCACGCGACTTCAGCTAAGCGCCACCCAGAAATGCTCCCTTTGCCAGCTGGAGTGACACCATCGGAACCACCAACAGCACCACCAACAGCACCACCCCATTATCAAGGAGTTCCGGTCCACTATGTACCACTAAGATCATTTACTGATCATGTTACAATCAGCGCTCAACTACCTCCCGATGCAACGAGACAGCCGCCATCATATACGACATATTCGGCGACCAGTCAAGCTGTTAATTCGAACTCTCCTCCGGGGAACTCTACCGCTCTCCTAGCAAATATGCAAGGTACTTTATGGTCGATTAGATAATCTCTAATATTTATTTTTTCCAATTTTCAGTTCATGCCTCTGTTTTCGCTCAAACACCCGCTGAACCTCTCGAACCCACTGGAAATGGAATACAAGTTGCTGTTTCTAGCTCGAGCCCAGATTCAGTAGCATCTGGAACTTTAGGAATCTCTGGAAACCAGCAAAATGATCTCGAAGCCAACGAAACTTCACGCCAACAGAAGAACCAAGAAGCGTCTGGCATGTTATCACCTAGACGCTCTGTGCCTCAGACGACTCCAGCTATTCCCCACCCAGGAATGTTTCCTTTGCCATCCGGATCACCAAGAGCACCACCCCATCATCCTGGAGTTCCGGTCCGTCAAGTGCCACAAGGATCATTTATGCATAATGGGCAATTTATCCCGGGTTCGAACTTCATGCACCATTTGGGAGATCCAAGAATGTATCCAAATTTTGCTCAACATCAAGTGAATATGAGACATCCGATGGTTCCGCCTCCACCATACACGGCGACAAGCCGAGCTGCTCCATTCAACCTTCCTCCAGTCCACTCTACCGTTCCCATGGCTTTCGCCCCTATGCGAGGTAATTTATCATCCAAGCAGATAATACTTCATATTTCCAATTTTCAGCTCATTTCCCTGTTCCACCTAGGCCAGAAGTCGCGGCGCAATGGATGGCGGCACACTCGATGTACCAACATCAAAATAAGCCCGTGGCCCAACCACAGATGACACCGAAAAGGGCTCGAAAGCCAAGAGCCAGAGCAGCGCCACGCCACGATACAGTGGTCTCCATTCCAATCGCCAGGAGTCCTCCTGCCGCCGTTCCAGTGCCACCAATCGGCCAAATGATTGTTCCCCAACCAGAGGTTTACCAAAACCCTCAAGCCTCTGCCATTCGTCGTGTTTTTAACACCATGCCCCACTTGGATTACCCGCCGAAGCCTTCACAGGACAGCAGCTCGAATGAATCGATGCCCCGTCTCGAAGCTGATGGTGAAGAGGAAGAAGCAGTGGGAGATCAACCAGGACCAAAAGATCAGTCTTCTCCAGAAGCACCACCACCGAAGAATAGCAGTTATGACGAAGACCTGCACAAAATGATATGCAGAGATGAGGCAATCCATGAAGCCCTGAAAAATGCTCCTCGAGCAAAATCACGGATCCTTCCCCTCGAGGATATCATACCGTCAGAGGAGGAATGCCCAGATCTCGAATTCTTCACAGACTTTGCCGATCGGAGCCAAAGCTTTGGGGAGATGAACAGATGCACCGTCACTTGCACAGAAATGTTCTCCTCCGAGTTTACCAATCGTGTCGAGAAGAGAGGACAACAAAAAGTTCGCTTCCATAAAAATGAAAAATTCCGAAAGACATTGGAAGGCGTGAAGGCTGTTGCGTTGTTTGAGATGGTAATGCAGGATAATCTGGTGAGTGGGGAAATGTTTCGTTAAATTTATTCACCATCTCGACCAGGATTCAAGAGTACATACATCGAAAAATGGCGCACCTAGGGTACATCGTAATTTTAATGCACATTGGTTTTGTTTTGAGAAAGAAGCGAAATAGTCTGCAAAGAATTGTTTCGTTCTCCACATGTACCACAACACCCCATGATACCATGCCTTTTCATCATTGTCATCATCAATAATTTGTTTTCTAGATTACCATCCTCAATGAATGGCCAGAAGCTCGTCAGGAGCCAAAGTTTCAGTTGTTCCTTCGAGCACACGAGCTGACAGGACACAAGGTAGACTAAACTAATTTTGAGCGAATTGATCCTATATATATATTTTCCAGGCCGTATTCAACAACGAGAATGAAGCGGAGGCTGAGAAGAATTTGGTGATTAGAACGCTCAACTACCTGTCCGATTTGAGCAGAGAAAGTAAGTCACCGTAGCTCAGCCGGTAGCGCCGCGGCACCTTCAGCGTTGACAATTTAAACCTCCATGAGGGGCGCATATGAAATCATTAGTTCATTTTCCCAACTTTTAATGCAAAAACAGCTCATTCGGACAAAAATACAGTCAATATTTTAGAATCTTACGAAAAACGGAAATTTCGACGAATTTTTGATTTTTAGGCTGAAACCTCGATCTCCTCTTTATAAGAACATTGTGTTTACAGTAACCAAAGATATTTTATTCAGAAAACTTCGGGTGCAATAAAGTCATCGCCTTCCTTCTCTATGCTATTCACAAATCTGTCGGATGTTGCTATCCAGTTCAAGGATTCCGTTTGATCCACCAGATTCTGGAGACATACATAAAACCAAGGGATGAGAATATTGAGTTTGCAGAGATCGATTAATCGTTTTCTTAAATTTTTAGTTGTATATTTTCTCGAGCTTCTTGTCCCTATCCACTATATCATTTATAGTCCATTATACATCTTTGTAGCCATTCCCCTTATCAGCTCTCCGACTAAACCCCATAATTGCTGATAAGACACATATTGTTACTCTCTTCTGTCTTTTTCTTTTCCATTCTCTTTCCCAACATTTCTTTTTTTTATATAATCTTTCTTTTCAAATTGTATTTTGGGTAGTTTTCTGGAATTTTCAAGACTTCCTCTACCTGCTTTTTCTTAATTAAGTTCTGAATTAAGATCATTTTGTCTACAACACGTATCACTCCTCAATTCTCCTTCTTTTCCTTCTCCTCCTCTTTAATTGCTTTATTTGCTTATGATTTCAAATTAATTGCACCAATTTTTGCTCTAGAAATTCGTCATCTACTTCGCCTTTTTTTGGTATTTTGTACCCCTAAATCCCTTTGTACCCCAATGACCCCAAAAACTGTTGTATCCTCCGAGTTATCTGCCTAATCTCTCCTATGAAACCTTTAATTTTGCAAATGAGCAATGTAATAAATTTTCAACGTATTCTAGATGATTAGTACCGGAAACAAAACCTATAATTTGAAGTAAGTCTATTCAGATTCCTGAGAGATATAATTAAAAGGGCTAACTAACAACATTTTGGACATACCGTAAAACCTCTAATAGACCGACACCCGGATCGTCCACTTTGAGCCTATATATCTCATTTTTGTAAAGAATCAAAA